TGCTGGGGAATGCGGGACACAGTCGGGTTCGGCCCCTCCTCGTGTCAGTGCTCCAAGTGATAAGAGTGCAGTGCCCTCCCCTCATCCGTCCATCTCTGCGCGCTTGCCCCTGGCCACATCTGCTGCTTCCCCGTTGTGTGTGCGAATTAAACGCGCGCGGGCAGGCGATGTCATCCATCCATCGCTCTCTCTCTCTCTACGCTTGCCTGCCTTCTCTCAAGTCTCTGCGCCGCCGCTGTGTGTCCCCGGTTTAATGTATGTCCTCGCATTCCTGCCTGCCCCTGGACACTGAGTGAGGCAGAAGCATGCATTCATGATGTGCGCGGGGTCACCAACCTTCGGCCGTCAACGGATAAAAGAGAAATAAAATTAAATAAACGTGACAAAAACCCATGTGAACGACCCACCAACTCCTCGAAGGTCAACTCAACAACAACAAAAGTGAAAATACAGTAAGGGAAAGCGTTTGCAGTAGTGCACGTCAGTGGCTTAGCTATCGAGTGTGTAGGCTTTGCAACTGCACCAGGTCTAATTAAATGTATTGCTATACTCTTTGGTTCTATTGGGTAAAGTCACGTAGGTGAAAATAAAATAACAAAAAATAACACCAAGGCCCATGCCAAGCACGCTACACAACTGGTACACATGTACAAGAACAAATGAAATCACATTCATCACGAGTTAAGCATCATCTCCATATATATAAAAGGCAAAGTTGTGAATGTGTTGCGTCTGTTAAAAATGTTTAGCCTACTTCCCAACATGCAACAAACTTGAACTTTGCCATGTGGCTACTTTCCATACTGTACACCATGCAAAAATGATAAAAATACACTTTTGTGTGTTTTTTTTGGGGGGGGGGCGGGGGGGAGCTCAATAATGCATATTTTTTTTGCACGCCAAGTGAGCTGTGACGTCAAATCTGTCACGTGACCCGCGCATGTGGAAGCGTAACGCATTGTAGTGTAGCGGTTAGCGCGCTGCGCTACGAACCCGGCGACCCGAGTTCGATTCCCGCTCACGGCCACCACTGGTGACGATTATTTGAACCGGTCCTGGGCCTCCCCTAGGTCGACTCAGCCTCAAACGAGTAACTGCTGTGGTGTGTCAACATCGCCACTGGGGAGACAAAGGCGGCCGCCCGTGGTGAATCGATGTCCCGGGCGAAGCCGGGTAGTACAGCTAGTATAGATATAAAGTATTCGGATGATGTTTTAAGCAATGACCCTTCTTTTAATTTGGAGGGTGTAACTTTACATTGTGAGCTGCTGAGGAAATTGGGAAATGTGAAGGTTCAGAAGAGTAGCCGTTTGAGTTGGCGTGTGAACATATTTCTGATCACCGAATAGCAAAGAAATTTGCATTTTTAAAAACATTTTAAGGTATGCAACTTTAAAAAAGATGTTGATTATGTATCAATTTTTTAAAGTGTTTGTACAACGGTATATGTCAATTTTAAGTCATGATCTAGGAGCTGACAGCTCTCGGACCAAAGCAGCTGCTTAATGAAACTCGTAAATCAGGGGGCGAGATAGTGAGCAGTGTGATTTGAGCACTCGCACAGTCACTCATTCAACACACACACACATTAATTCACTTATTCATTCAACACACACACGCATTGATTCAAACAAAGACAAACACCCATTCATTTGAACACACAAACAGATCTCCAATAGTTGGGGAAAGTGCTGTCAGCCTATATGCGACAGCATGGCGTGGCCAGAACCACGCCCGGTAGCTTTTGTCTGACGTTTTTGCCATACGGCACCATATGATCAGTTAAGGCTGAGTGGACCCAGGGGAGGCTCGGGACTGATCCAGTTCATCGAACTCGGGTAGCCGAGTTCGTAGTGCAGTGCGCTAATCGTTGCACTACCGCTCCCCCCCCCACAAAGACAAAGATCCCACCCTCCCCCATATAGCCTGAACAGACTGTCGGGGCAAGTGCTGTTAGCGAGCATCTATGAAGGCCGGCACGGCATACGCGGGGGTGGGTGGGCAGCACCACGCTCGGCCGCCTTTGTCTCCCCAAATCCTGATGTTTAAACAGCACAACAAAGAATTGGTCACAGGTGTTGCTCCTGAGCGGGGTTGGTGGCGCAGCGCGAACCGCGGCCACCCATTGCCCTCATAGGCAGCTGACATGGCACAGTGGGGGGGGGGGAGGCTGTGTGTGTGTGGGGGTGGACGAGGGAGGGAGGCTCGCAGAGCGACACAGCCACGCAACTTTCTTTTGATGGCAAAAGTGCTGAAGCGACCCTTTTTTTTACCCCCCCCCCCACCTCTCTCTCCCGCTCTCTCTCTACCAAAGTCGAAGAGAGAAACATTCCTCGGCTTCCAACCCCCTGCAGACCCCGAGCTCATCGAAATCCTGGCGACTGGGGGAAGCGAGTGGGCACAGCAATGTGCGTTGGGAGATTTTGTTCGTTTAAAAAGCAATACATAAGATCCCGCGGAACACGACTTGGCGTTCCCGGCGCGTCTTGGGACTTTTAGCTGCCAGATCGCATCGTTGACGTGATCATAATCGATTTAAATAAATAAATATATATGTTGGCCCTTGCAGCTTTTCATTGTCATCATCCACGTCCCAGATCTCATCGCACTTCGAGAGTCAAGGGCGTTTCGCGTCAACAGAAAGGGAGAGCGAGAGAGAGAGAGAGGAAATGCTACGGCAGCAACCGCAACAAAGGCATAAAAACGTGGGGGGGGGGGAGGGGGGGGTCCCCTCCCTCCCATCGGTACACAATATAACACGATTACGATTAGACTGATAAGAGACATGGAGCGTGGAGTGGGGGGGGGGGGTCGTGAACATCTGTGCAACCAAATAGGAGAGCTTCACAGCTCATCGGATTCGTCCAGCACGAACACAGATTCTGACTGTGGCTTGGCACGCACGCTGCGTCGTGAACCGGTCCAGCGACGGCTGCCGTCAGTGGCGAGCGGCACCCGGACCGGGTCACGGAACCTCCCAAACCCACACGCGCGCACGGACACCCGCACGTCTCAACAACCCGGGACTGCCTAGCGCCGTGAAGTATGGATGACAAACAAACAAAAAAGGGGGCTGGACAGTAAACGAATGCGCTATCGTCATGATGAACTACGCCGGAATAATAGCAGCGATGTATCTATCCACTGTACACACACGGGCGCGCTTGTGCATTCCTGACACTAATTCAGAGAATGGCGACGATTCCCCTCGTCTCGTTTCCAACAGGAGGTCCTTCTCTCGCTCGCTCGATCTCTCGCTCTCATACTTCGAGGTTAACGCTTTTCTCTTTTCCAACGGAACAAGCGAGGGCGTTCATTGGGCAGGGCGGTGCCTGGAAACGACCAGGCCAACAACAAAAAAACCACGACAACGACGACCCCATCGTCTACACCGTGCAGTCGTCTTGAAAAAGCACGAAATTTAAGTCGGGTTCCCACCCCCAACCCCCCAGATGCGAATTCGCAAGGTTGGTGATGCGCCGATGTCTCAGCACGTCGTCTCTCCCAAAGCCACGCTGGGGTTTGAGCCTGGCTAGTGCTCGTTATGGGGCATACCGCCAGCTGTGGTAGTTGACGTAAGAGGCACGGCCACAAATAGTCATTGTTGTACTGCAACTTGTGTGCGCCCGCGATCGATGTTCCCCGCCGTCACCAACTCGAACCGACCAGCGTACCGGGGAGGGGGGGGGGCAAACGATGGGTCCAAATAACCCAAGCGCGGTGTAGGGAAGAGAACCTCATCCAGCAGCGTATTGACACAGAGGGCTGCACACACACGCGCGCAGTGCTTAACAAACCACACAAGCCATGCGCGTTCCATCGCAAGCAGCACCCCCCCCCCCCAACTCTCTCTGCACGCCACTCGGGGGATCAAGGGGCCTCGCGAGCAGGCAGGTATGGGCGCATCATCTTCGACGCATGCAAGCGAGGAGGGGGCGGCTGGAAGGGGGGGGGGGGTTAATCGTGTGGCGGCGGATGCAGTCTCTCCCCACGACTTGCTCTACGGGTCGGCTTGCAACACAGCGGTCTGTGTGCACCGTTGACCCGTGGGCCCCCTTAAATCCCCTTGTGTCTCAGCCGTGGGCAGTGCTTGGCACGGCGTGGCTCTGGCTGTTGAGCTACACGATGCTTTGTGGTGTTGTCTTACCCCAGGCCGGGGGTTACCGGCTGCTTGACCGCTTTTCAGGGGGTTTAAAGCATCATCATCACCACCGTCACCGACGTGAAAGGGACTTATCCGACTGCAGGGGAAACGGGACTGCGTGCATCAATCCCTGACCCGGTTCGAACCTCACTCAACCGAGCAGAATTACACACTCCACACTCTATTCGGCAGCTTCTACCACGATAGCCCCCGAACCAATAATAACCTGTAGGATATTCAAACCACGAATATGCTCAATGAGAAGTTATCATCACTGAAAGAGGCGCCCACACCATCAGCGCCAACACAAATCAACATCGCCATGACCACTAGAAAGCAGCAACACCATCAAAAAGCATCACCGGCACGATTAGCACCAGCATGCACCATGTGTTTCACCACCAGCACCATCAAGAGGACAACTATCACCACCATCATCGGTAGCACTTTCAGCAGCAGCATCATCATCATCGGTAGCACTTGCAGCAGCTTCAACGCCACCAGCACCATCATCACCACCACCGCCACCAGAATCATCACCACCGCTATCACCAGCATAATCACCATCAGCACTATCACCACCACCATCATTAGCATCAACGTCACTAGCACCATCATCACCCCCATCACCACCAGCACCAGCATAATCATCACCACCACCACCACCGGAATCATCACCACCGCTATCACCAGCATAATCACCATCAGCACTATCACCACCACCATCATCATTACCATCAACGTCACAAGCACCATCATCACCCCCATCACCACCACCAGCAGCAACATCACCATCATCACCACCACCACCAGGAACCTCCCTCCCCAAACCCGCACGTCTCGTGCTCTCTCTCACCCAGGCGCAGGGTGAGGTTTATGGCCTTGGGGTACTGCACCCCGCGAAGCATGGTGGGGCTCTGCCACCACGTCGTGTCGTCCTGGTTGTTGAAGTCCGTGAGGAAGGTGGCGTTGTGGTGGAGGCGCGCGTCGCTCGCGTCGCACACGTGGCACGACTTTGTGACGCCCGTCACCCCGGTCTGCACGCAGTACTCCTCGGCGGGCGATCCGCACGTGTTGGTCGCCTCCACCGTCACGTTGAAGGCCGCGTTCACGAACTCGGGCAGGCACCGCTGCGGCCGTCCCTCGTCGTCGTAGCATTCGTCCATGGCCGAGAGGACGCCCTGGCAGAACAGCAGCAGCATCGCCGCCGCGGTCGTCATCGCCATCATCGCCGCCGTACTCTGATGCTGATGGTGATGATGGTGGTGGAGCCGCCACCGTCGGCGGAGCGAGATCGGGAGGCGCGGCGCGGTGCTGCGCGTGTGCGCCATGTGGAGTCGCTCTGAGTGGGAGGCGGCGGCGGCGGTGGTGGCGGTGAATGAAGCGAGGCGAGAGGGCGAGGATGGGGAGAGCGGAGGGGAGAGGTGGGGGTTGGGTTGAATGAGACGAGGCGAGATGGAGAGAGGTGGGGGGGTGAGAGGGGAGTGTGGAGACGCGGGCGGGCCGAGCAGAGTACAACGTCTCCCCTCCCTCTCAAATTCTCGATCCTCGTTCCACTCTCCTCACTGCTCCACCTCCTCCCCTCTGCTGTGCTCTGCCTCCTCCTCCCGCCCGCTCGACACCGCTCGGCACCCACCCCCCGCTCTCGGGCTCTCTCGAATCAGCGATGTCGTCTGCTGCCTCGCTCACAAGTAGACGATCATTCGTAAAAAGCCCAATTATCATCATTAATCAATAACACAGCTGCTATCTTCAATGTAATCATCATCGTCGTCATCATCATTGTCGTGAATTACACTTACACCATCCTTCAAACACTATCTTAAATAATCATAAATACAACTTTTAAATATCATCATCAAAAAAAATTTCTGAAATTTTTGCACAAACAGTAAATCCCATTTACATAATAAACAACGCTAATGACCAATTAATAATAATAAGTAATTGCACTTACATCCTCATCAACAACACTTTTACATTTCACCATCATCACCAATGATCATCAATCATCACCACCCCACCCTTCCTATTCTCATGCGTGTTCAAATCCCGTCACCCTTCGCTCTAACCCACCCATGACCCATCATCCCTCGCTGCACCGCGCATCTTTCGTCAGCTGCCCATGCAGAACATTTTTCCAGGCAGACTCCCCGCCCTCTCTCCCATACCGCGGGTACCCGGGCAGCTGGCCGGCCGGCCGGCCGGCCGGACAGCCAGTCATCCTGCACAGGGGCCGCGTGAACGCCACTCATCTCCTGTGACGTTCAACTCGACAGCGATCTCTGCGCGACTGACTCTTTGCTTCTGCTGCTGCAACTGCTCTAATCCCTGACCCTATTGCGCGCTATTCCGTTTGTCCGCCGGGGATGTGAGGGGTCTGCGAACACTCCTATTATCCGCGACCTGTTCTCCCTATTATCCGCGACCTGCTCTCCCTATTATCCGCGACCTGTTCTCCCTATTATCCGCGACAGTTAAACACCGCATTGACATAACGCCTTCACGATCTATCCCACAACATAATCGAAATATACTGTTGCTCGTGATAGACTATGCGAATTAAATGTATCGTGTTGTTCGTGAACCCAAATCGTGGCCAATTAATCGAATTGCGACGGGAGGATGGAGCGAATCCGTTCACGAGCGGAATGTCCACTCGGGTTGTCATTGTGCGCCTGTTGATCGCCTCTGAGAGTGCCCCCTTGCGCTCCCCCTAAAAGGGTTTAAAAGTTCGCGATGCTGCGCGTTTCTGCATTTCGTCCGTAGGTGGGCGTCGGCAAGGCACGGCGCCAATGGCTCATCACAGCGTGGGAATGCCACCTGTTGGTGGAAGCGACCCCGTGCAGAGGCACTTGTGAGATCCACAAGCTGGGGCACACACATGCACGCTCACACACACATGCACGCTCACACACACATGCACGCTCACACACACATGCACGCTCACACACACATGCACGCTCACACACACATGCACGCTCACACACACATGCACGCTCACACACACATGCACGCTCACACACACATGCACGCTCACACACACATGCACGCTCACACACACATGCACGCTCACACACACATGCACGCTCACACACACATGCACGCTCACACACACATGCACGCTCACACACACACATGCACACACACGCACCACCACCCACCCCACCCCGGCCGTTTTATTCACGTAACGCGAGACGAGAAGTGACCGGGTGCGCTGAGCTGCCAACACTGGACCTGGGTTCGAATCCAAGCAGCTGCTTGTGATCAATGAAACCGGCTTTTCATGTGTAAGTGTATCGTCTCGGTCCGGTCCCCTAAGTCATAATTGAGAGCATGGTTGCACATGTACTTCACTTTTATTCCTCACGCCCTTTGCTTCCATTATTATATTTGCACTAAATGGGACCTTTTGGCCAGTATCAATGTATTACCATTTCTGACAATAAACAGGAGGTGTTAAGATTTCTAACCACCAAATGGAAACCTTTTGCAAGGAATAAAGTTCGCATTAACCACACACAGTACTTGTGGTGAGCATGCAAACAAATATGCTCTGACAGTATATGCATTGACACTGGTGAGACTTGGCCAATCAGTTTCAAAGACAAGGCATTTTGCCCACTTCAGCAATTGTTTCTTATTCTTGGTTCTTTCGGTAAAGTCACGTAGAAGGGAAACAATAAAATAATAAAAATATAAAACAATAAAATTCTCACGACGTTTCGACTGCAACACAAGCAATCATCATCAGGTGTGAAAACCACAATAAGAAAATTTCCTTGTGGTTTTCACAAGAAAATGTTCTTGTTGTGGTTTTCACAAGAAAATCTTCTTGTGGTTTTCACACCTGATGATGATTGCTTGTGTTGCAGTCGAAAGGTCGTGAGAATTTTATTGTTTTATATTTTTATTATTTTATTGTTTCCCTTCTACGTGACTTTACCGAAAGAACCAAGAATATGAATCCCTGCAGTCACGAAAGCTTTAAATCAAAATTCATTTGTTTCTTGCTGTGGTTGTCCCACCTGATGATTTAATTTATTTTATTTTATACCTACGTGACTTTAACGAAAGAACCAAAGAGGAAGGCATATATTATTAGAGAATGTTTGTTTGCATGTTCACCATAAGTACGTGTGCTGAATGCAGACTTTATTCCTTGCAAAAGGTTTATATTCGGTGCTTGAACATTTTAACTCCCGTTTCATTGCCAGAAAGGGTAAAACCTATTCTTATTTTTTAAATATTTTTTGCACTGTTTGTGTTGTATTCCCGCGTGTTTCGTTCGCGAACGTTAAACACCTCGTTTGTTGTGCAATATTACTTAAGGACCCCCTCTCTCTAATCGTTGTCTGCAATGTTGATGTTACTTTTTCTCTCTCTCTCTTTGTTTTGTTGTCGCTGCCATCCTCACGCAGCACCACGGATTTCCCGTGTAAAATAGCCGGGAAGCTGGCTAAACGGGATCACCCCCGCGCGTGTGACAAACAAACAAAAAACCCCATCACATTCAATGTGCTTCTGTAACCATCCAAGCACTGTCCAGGCTCAAAATTTGCCGAGCTTCCACAATCCGATGTAGGTTGGACGGTATTTTGGTTGATCTGGTCCATAGGTGGACAGTTATGGATAGACGCCCTTCCCAATAACTGACGGTAACACAGGTGGCATGTATTTAACAAGCCTGCCTGCCCCTGCCGATGAGACCCAGAAGATGGACACCGCTGCAGAGTTTGCTTGCTTAAACAAAGACTGCGGAATAATATTAGTCTGGAAAGTCAATAGGCAGTTGGACGAAAACACGTGTTTTATTTATACGTGGAGACAGGCCAGAGAATCATGCTTACAGTGCATTTATCCATTTATGTATACGACATTTCGGTCGGCAGTCTGCCTATGTGCCTGTAAATAGGAACATGCCAGAGGACGCCTGCCAGCGGAGATGGAGCACGGCCGTGAGTGATGGTGGCGGCTTAATTGGTGAGGGCTTCATCCAGCAGTGAATTGACCATGGCTCATGATAATGAAGCGAGAGGTCGACCGATTGTCTCTTCCCCCCAACCCCCCCCCCCCCCCCCCCCCCCCCCCGGGGAAATTCTATTAATTGGCATCACGATCTTGGATCGCGATTCGATTCAGGAACCAGGCCCTGCTTGTCTCGTTCCACCGCCCCGGTTATGCGTATTCATTCACAGTTAAAGTTTCAATCTCACAGTTTGACCAATACAATATAACAATGGCCTTTTTTGTAAAATCGATCACTTGCGCACGGGAGGAAGACCTTCCACCACGCCACGTGGAATCGTGAGAATCATGGGTGTTGTGTGAGTGTACGTGACGCTGGTAAGTGTGGGCTGGCGGCGGCCGAGGGGTGTTGGTGGCCACGTTGTTCGCAGCGGCCGGGAATCGAACTCTGGTATCTGGGTTCACAGTGTTCGTGCTCGAACCACTGTGCCCCCACCCCCCCCCCCCCCCCCCCCCCCCCCCGTACACATTTATCGCGAACGATCAAGTATACGGGAGCTGTTTTTTTTACGTGTATGAAGCATTACCTTAAGTGTTTAACGCAATTCCATTTCGGTTTAACGAGCAGTATTGTTTTGTTCCTATTATTGCAAGTGTAGATGTTTGCTCAATTGTATTTGCAAAGAGTACAACATTCTAAAATGATGAGGAACCCTCGTTTGAATCATTCTTGATAAGCAGCAGTATTAACGAAAGGGAACGCATCCTAGCTCAGCACACGGGAATGGTGCAAGTGGGCCGCGTGCTGAATGTTGTTTTTATATTTTTCCAGGTGGTGTATAAATAGTAATCATCTCCGTTTGTATCTCCCTCGAGGGTTATTTACAACCGTGCTAACTACTGGCATCATCGCACGAGACGAAACGTCCGTTTGTAACTCTCGCAGTGAGAACGGTCCATGGTAGCTGACTTCACGGAATTAATTCTGAGACTCTTTGTCCACATGATGATGTGCGTCGCAGTAACAACGGATACATATTTTATATTATTTTATTGTTTCCCTTCTACGTGACTTTACCGAAAGAACCAAGAATATGAATCCCTGCAGTCACGAAAGCTTTAAATCAAAACAACGGATATGTTTTGATGTGTAATTCCCAGAGGTCATTGTGTTGTATTTATGTGCAGTCATTACTGACGATGTTGACGATAATGGACATGTTAATGACAAAGTCGGTGGTTTTGTTCATGTGTACCACTGCTAATGTGGTTCATTACGAGTATTATTGTATTTACTTTTAAACATTCTTTGGTTCTTTAGGTAAAGTCACGTAGAAAGAGAAAATACATAATTCCTGCAGTCACGATAGCGCCAAATCGACTTTTAAACATTGTTCAAAGATTTTCAACTATGGGCGTTGATGATGTCAGCTGATCCCCCCCCCCACCCCATCTCTGATCATGGGATGGCTGAGCTCTATTGAATCGCACACAACACATTTTGCAAAGAGCCTCTGTAGCATCTCCCGACAGTTACGAATAAAGACACTGAACAGCTGGCCATTATGAATATAAACTTGTTCATGGGAAAGGCAAACAATGATCTACTCTTACGAACAATATCATGGGC